ATGGATCCGGCTCAAGTCGAGAACTAATTCTTCCTTCGGCTGGTAGTCGTGAAAAATCAATCCTTCTAAGTGCGGTGAAGCCCACTCAAGTAGCTCCAAGAGTCCTTCACTGTCCTCCTAATCACAAAGTTTTGAAAAAAGGTAAATTTGAGATAGTTTTTAATTATTGAAAGGTAAAAGCAAAAAGGTAAATTTCAGATAGTTTTTAATTATTGAGGTCTGCTACGCCTCGTTCTCTTTTCTTTTCAAAAAATGCAAAATAAATCTCGAAAAACTCAAAAGTAAATACTGTATTCCAAAAGGACGCAGCCGCGGTTTTTTAAACTAATCGGTACAAAAATTGTTTAAGTAAGCATTTTTTAGATGAATCCTAATATATGCAAAGTTAAATTGTCATAAACAGATTTTAAGGATTTTGATAAAAATGAAAAACTGTTATTAGTAAAACATAGTCTACAGAAAATTGGAATCAAAAGCATTGAACGCATAGAAGCAGAAAAATATTATTGCGAAAAAAATCAACTTTCAAACTTTACAGAAAAAAGTGGGTTGTGGCTTTTAAATACTTTGTTTTTCAAGAACAATTTATGATTTATGCTTGTTTGATAAAATTAACCCATTTATGATTTGTGCTTGTTTGATAAAAAAAGTTTGAGAAAACTGGATCAATAGGTAAAATTTTTATTGGGCTGGGAAATCTATACTGATATTTGAATTCCACTATCGAAATTCGATCACATTTTTAGTGACATTTACATTTTTCCTGTTCAATAGCGGAGTTAGCCTTCATTAACAAAGGAAATGAAATGAAAGATATCAAAAATCAATCCGCAAAAAAAGTCAAAATTGAGCGTGAAAAAATTTGAATTTGATGATTTTTTTCTGATAAAAAAACATAAAGAGTTACCAAGACATATATAAGAGTACTCACTACGTTCCCCACTCTCATTAAAAAATCATTTAAAAAATACGATAGAAAATAGTTATAAAACGTCTGAGAATAAACGTGACCAACTGACGGTTGGAAAACTATCGAACGCAAGGAAAAAAGAAGAACTGACTTGTTTTTAGAAAAAACTTCAAATTTCGAGTTTTAAAGAAAAACATTTACCCTCAAAATTCTTTGTATTATACAATTAGCTTTCGATCTGCGCTTTTTTGGTAAAAATAGGTCAATTTGAGAGAACTGCAGTGTTATGTAAAGTTTTTATTCCGCTGGGAAATCTAAAAGTTCAATTCCACCTATGAAACTAAAAATCTTTAGATTAATTATACTTGGAAGCACATTTGCCAAAGATTGCACAAACGGGACTCCATTATGAATAAGAAAACTAAAACTGTATTTTCTCTCAATTAAGTTTACAGCTGACTATGTTCAATTTACCTAAAAATTTGATTGTTTTACTATCGAAACAAAACACTCTAGGATATGGAATAAGACTTCAAGAATTTTTTTCAAAAAAAACATGAACATAAAATTGTTTAGGACGCTATATACATCACTTGCGATACCACAGAAGTAGCATGGTAAGCTAGCAGGCAGAGTAGGAAACTAGAGCCACTGATTCCAGAGAAAAAGGGACAATTATTTTTTTAAGTCCAGAGAAAAAGGGACAAAAAGGTACAGAGAAAAAGGGAAACCACAACCAATGATGTGGTCTGCAGTGATGTTCAATTTTAATGAAAATTCAAAAACAATTATCGAGCGAAAATAAAATTGTTGTCATGAAAAACTTTGAACTAGAAATTTTATTCTGAGATTTTTTACGTTAAAATTGTAGTTTTTCGAACGACTAAAAGTTAGACCAGTAAATCAATAAAAAGTATAAAAAAAAAAACAAAAAAAACATCCGAAGTTAATTCAAAAAAATAATTAAAAAAACGTTAAAATATATTTTTTTTGTTTTTTGAGAATTACAAAACAAACTTTATACGCTTAATTTTCTATGAAAAAGCAAGCAAATCAAAATATAAATATCTTGTTACAATTTTTCGATTTGATAACGCTTGCTAGTTGAAAAGGCATTATATTTAAAAACTCTTACAACAAAGAAATCATGGTTTATTTTTGGTCACACAATTTTTACTACATAGCAGTTTGAACTCGTCTGAAAACATTTGCGTTCAGTTTGCATTACTGGTTTCTGATTTTTTGTACTGGTTTCTGATGGAAACATTTTTTGAAAAGAAACTCTATCTGAAGACCTTAAAAACGCAGTCAGAGCATTCAAAGCTTTGACAGTATACGTGCAACCTTGTTCAAATATAGTGACTTCTTCAAAGTGAAATAAAAAAAAACTGATTACCAAAAAATTATAATTTTCAGCTAAGGGCGTTAATTTCTTTCTTATGGAAAAGAAATGTGAAAGAATAAATGAGTCTGAACAGCAAAATTACACAAAAAGTCACGTCCAGATCAGATATTTGAACAGCAACCATCACAGAAAGTTGTCAATCGAGCAAAAACTAAAAAAAAAACTTTGCTAATCGAAAGCAAGAAAAAAAGCAAGAATATCTTACAATTTTTGTAGCGCAGATTAGATTTAACTTTTTTTTTGAAAAACAAAACGTTTGAACATGAAGTAAACTTTTTTAGAACTTTGGCTATGCAAACTTTTCTATCAAAGGCTTATAATCTATCAAAACTTGACATCAAAAATATAATTTTTTTTAGATACTCGCAAAACAGTGCTTTGGGAGAGCTCGAAAAATCAATTTGGTCGACCTAAAAAAAGGTCTTCAAAATTTTGGAAAATTTTTTGAAAATCCGCCCCCCCTCTCGAGAAAATACGCCTAGATGGTTAAAAATACAGAAAAATTTTAATCTTGCTCTTCTGGAAACTGGCGTCCAAATTTCTGAGCCTCAATACATTTTGCACGTTGATATTAAACTATGGTTCAAAAGAATCAAAACAAGAGCTCTACCAGCTTCAGTGAAGAAACGTCTCAAAAAGCTTCAATAGTTTTGTCACATACACTCGCTACTGATCACTCGCTAAATCACTACCAAAACTACCGCAACAGTGCAATAAAGAGAAATCAGATAGTCAAAATTCAATATAAATGAAAACAGAACGTTTTTTTATAAGGCTTAATAGAAAACGTTATGTTTTTATAGTTAAACCTGTGACAGTTTTACTGGCCCATGAACAAAACGCTCAGCGTGCAAAGCAAATAGAAGCCTATAAAACATTTTAGACAGTTTTGGGCATAAATTCTTGAACACCTTGAAAACTATTTTAAAAATTACTAATTAAATTCGTTCATTCAGCCAACGAACTATTGAATTTTTTCAATTTTGTGGTTTGAACGCGTCGCCGGCAAAACTCTGCGCTTCAATTGTTGTTTTTTTAACGTCACTAACTGTTTATACGGTTTTTAAGGCTTGCAATGTTTTCGCAATGCATTTATTTTGATATTGCATCGTCGTAACAATGCACTTATTTTTTCTGTGTTTCTAAGCAGGGAACCCAATAGGTTTTCCTCTACGAAAATATTCGATCAAAAATTTCACTGATTTTTGTGAAAAATCCAGAAAAAAAAATTGATAAGATTAACCTGCCCTATGCCTATGCCAAGGAAAGAGGCAAATTTCAAAGTAGCGTTGCACTTGTCCATGTAGTGGATGAATTGGGAGTAGTTTTTGATAGGGCTGTGTCCGTTTTCAAAAATTATTCCCTGCTTCTCGTCTTCTTTTCCTTTGACAGCCGCTAGATTTGAAAGATTGAATTTGTCCGAAAATTTGGTCTGTGTAATATCACGTAGATGAAGTCTTTGTAACCAATTTTTGTCAATTGTCACATGGCATGCTACGATGAGGCCGTCTTCACAAATACAAGAAGAGCTCTTATGGCACTTCTCAAAAGCGTGGACACTGGTGTAGATTGCCAAGCACAAAGTTATCAAAGTTAGCATCACTGCTTTTGGAGACTTGAAATTCACGCTTAGAATTCTGAGCTTGTTTAACCGACTTGGTCCAGAAATCAGCTGTTTTGAAAGTGAAGAAAGTGTATTTTGAAAGTGTATTTTGCTTGTCAGACAACTAAATAATCTTCAAATTAATGTTGACAATAAGATATAGGGTGGGCTACAAATTAGCTAAAAGGCTTATAATCTATCAAAACTAGACATCAAATATATGTTTTTTAGATAAAGGGTTTAACAGAAGACATCTTTCTGTCCGTTTCAATATAGGGTTCAATTCAATTTGGTGTCCGTATTTATTTAGGTAATGTCCGTACAGTAATGATTCATCAACTTGAAGTTAAGTAATTTAATTTATTAACACTTTCAAGATTATTCAAACTAATTTATTAACTCAATAAAAATACTTCAAAGAATAGAAAAAAACTGATACTTACATTTTTTCAAATTTCTATCCACCAGGCTATACGGACACCACAAAATGGTGAAAAATATAAAAAAATTTAATCTTGCTCTTCTAGAAATTGGCGTCCAAAAACTCAAGTTTCTGAGCCTCAATACATTTTGCACTTTGATATTAAACTATGGTTCAAAAGAATCAAAACAAGAGCTCCACCAGTTTCAGTGAAGAAACATTGACTCCTTAAATCCAAATCACATCACTTCCTAGGACTTTATCCGACATTCGACTGACTCGATCCTTGGCTACCTTGGGATTATGCAAACTGAATTGTTTTTGAAGAAATTATACGAATTAAGATTTATATGGCAATAAATAATGCAATAAACCCAATTTTCTACAATTTATCCAGCTAATGAGCATGATAAGTTGGAGAAACATTCTCAATGTCAAGTTAAGTTCCCTCTGAGCATGGTAACTTCTTCGCAGAAGCATAGCGTTTATACCTCCAAGTTTATTACAGATGTCTTTTTCGCTAAATAAATGTCTTTTGTTGCGAGGTATCTTTTGTCGCAAGCTATATGTCACATTTCACAAGTTATACATCCAGTACGAGAACCTAATAATTACGCTTCAACATAGAGCATAAAACTAACATTGTTCATAATATCATATATTATTTGAATTTTTTCGCAATAACATAGATTTCACTCGAGTCTTTCCTGCTCGACTTCGGCTTGAAAGTTTTAACCAACTCGAATTTTTCTTTTAACTTTGTCGAAAATTCTTTCAATTCCGGAGTTTGCCAGAATTTGAGCACTAGCGAGCCACCTCGGGCCAGTTGAAGAAGAGCTATTTTGTGGTAGAGGTGTGAGTTCATTTCTAGAAGCCTGTCTGCATCTAGACCAGCAATTCCACTTGCATTGGGAGCCATGTCACTTAGGATCACGTCAAACCTGAAAAAAAATCAACAAGGAGGTTCATAATAAACAGTTATACAAATTGATATTAAGCCTAAAATCAATCAACTGAATGATCTCGTGAATGTGTGATATTTTGGAATTTAGTTTCTCGGTCGATTCATCTGTCGATCCAAGTTCTATGTTGAATAATCGGCAATATTGCTGCTCACTAAATTGATGGTATCTGTAATGTAAAAACCCACGAACACTGTTACTTTTATGAACTTATGAACAAAAAAGTAGATGAACTTTTCAAACATTGTAGCTTTGATTTATCTCTATTGAAGTCACTTTTTGTTTTGCGTGAGTAGAGCAATCTGGTCGGATGTGTTCTGTTTCATGATGTCGAAACCACTCATCACATGCACGCCTGCTATTGGCTCAATATCCAGCAGATCAACTGCCACCACCCCACGACAACCAGGCTGGAACTGCACTGTCTTCTCATCTACAGACACAAAGAAAAATTGGTCCTAGTTCATATTTCTGTGCAAATCCAAACTCTGCCCTTTTTTCTCCCGATCCCCCTCACAATGTCCGTTTCTAAAACGTGCTGATTAGTCCACTTTAAAAAATTCACTTATCCCATCCCATTCTATAGCTCCCATTTTCCCATCCTATTTTAAAGTTTCTGAAAATTGAGCACTCCCCAAAAACTAAAGTACCCAAGTATTTTCTGGCGCCAAAGAGCTATTAGAACATTTTATAATATGGCCGGCTAGAAATGGCTGTCGTAAAAAAGTACCAGAGAAAGAACTTTTGGAAACATTTAGCTGCCAGAATTGAGGGGTGCGCGCACATTTAAACGTATGAAATTAAATCAGAAGATTGGCGGTAAAGAATGATAACATGTTGACATAGTATTCAATGGTGCCTGCAAAATAGCACCTAGCCATGGTTTCAAGTTACCCTGTTTGTTGCAAATGACACTCGCCGCAACTTGACTCCAAGCACCAGGTGCCGCACCCACGTCCAGAACCAGTAAATCAGTCTTCGAGGTACCTACAGCTAATCAATATATATATTTTCGAACTGGTGCCATTTGTTAGACCTTCCTAGCCAGGGCTTGGAAGGTTATCCACAGTTTTGTATTTTTTTCTTCATTTCAAAACAAAAGAAACAAAGTTTGTTAGCTTCTTGTAACATCTGTTTCGAAGAAATCTTGGCAAACTAAACGTGCATGAAAATGATGGCATCTACTTAAAACACTTATGATTGCAAAATTAGCGTCTTACCCTATCATGGCCACTACCCGGGTTGAGTTCCCCGTAATAATCATCGATCGAAAACTGCAAACCCAGCTTTCGGAACATTTTCATGGATTAATCCGTGTTATTACTTAAATGATTGCTAGTTTTTTAATGCTCATTGAAAAGTACGGATCTCTATTACCATTCCCCATCTTTGGTACCGACTACAGAATTGACACACCAATAAAGGACGGTTAAACATAAGAGAATTTTGTAACTAGTAATGAACCTCCCCCTTCTTGCAAAAGAGGAGAAAATAGTATAAAAGATCCAAAACTAGTGCCACAATTTTATCGATGATTCAGCGAAAGATAAAGGGGTTGTAGCACTGCATCAGCGATAGTTCAGTGCTGAGACAAGCACACATTTTTTCAGCACGCATTTGATCATATTTATTTTCTTAGATTTTTTTAAGCTTTTCACATGGTATGTCATAATGATTTTTGACCAAAACACCGCTTGTTGTGCAAATAGTTGTTGCGCAAATAGCACAGAATGTTCCGACCACATTCGTAAAAAAAATACGAAAAAAAGCAATTCTTAAATCTTCAATTTAGCGTAGTTTCTTCTTCGTGGTGTGATTATAGAACTATACAAACGTTCAAAAAGTTTAAAAAATTAGACATAGAATACTACAATTGTCTTCACAAAACAAACAAACAACAAAATGAAAAAAAAATTACAACAAAGCCAATCGACTATTGGAAAAGAGCAATGAACGCAAGTAAACATCAAAAAAAGACTGACTTCGATGAAAAAATCTCAACTTTCTAATTTCAAAAAATATATATAGATGCCCTCTAAGCTCTTTGAATTTCTAGAACGATTTACGAGTGGCGTTTTTTTTGATAACATTAACCCAAATTGAGAAAACTGGATCAACAAGTTAAGTTTTTATTCCGCTGGAAATCTACAAATTAAATTCCACTTTCGAAACTAGAAATTGTTCACAAATTTTCGCGCCGTTTGCACGTTCGTATTTGGAGAGTGCTCTTTACGTCACTTTCAATTGAACTCAAAAAGTGCATCTATACTTGTTGCAAAAATAATGATGTACCCAAAAAGTGCATCAAAATTTTAATTGAATCAATATTTTAAGTGCATCACTACGTTTATTACTCTTAAAAAAATCTATAAACTTTTCCGAATTTTTTGGTACTGAAAATTTTAAATTTGTATGAAAAATTTTATGGCCAAGAAAGCGCTGAATGAAACATGGTGTCAGTAAATGGAAATTGTCATTCAATTCCAACAGTTTGAGCGCAGATCTGCATCTAAAGCCTTGCTCTTCAGCCAAGTTCACGAAAGGATTTAAGCAAACAGTAACCAATTTCAGGAAAAAGGTTTGAATTTTTAATGAAAATATAAATTAAAACGAGCTGGTTCAGCCACGTTGCACATATCTACGCATAAGCTCTGTACTAAATTTACTAAATTATCAAGGTAATGATAGGAAGCATCTCAAAAATTGTGAGAAATAGAAAAGGCCGATTTTTGATGAAAACAAAAACTGAGAAAACATGCATCCAATATTTTGACTTTGAAGACTTCGTCAATAGTCAATATCAACTCGATAAATTAAACTCTCATTTGCTTTTGAAATTATCTTCCGAAATGCTTGCCAAAAATCATTTGAAATTTCATTAAAAACCAGCAGGACTGTCAAACTAAACTTTCAAATGGGTTTAAAACTCATCGTCACTTCATGGGTCAAACGCTTGTGAAACTTTTCATCACACTTTTTTTTATGACATTAATGAATGCGCAAAAATGACAGGCAAGCTTTGTAGGCAATCTTAAACATTTACTTCTAAAAAATTTTCTTAAGAGAATCAATGCGCCAGAATCAAAGCGCAAACACTTCTTCTTTCCCGAGGCTATTTTTAATTTTTTTTGAAACTAAATTTGACAGGAAAAATTTACGTGTAAGTAACCTTTAAAGTAACTTGTAAGTTAATTTGTTTGGATAAAATTAAAACTGCATACCCTTTTTTTGAGATTTGACCCACATTATTTCTCGTGAGAGAAAGCTTATGATTAATTTCTTAATTTGCGAATAGATCAAACTATCCCAAACCATCGCATAAACATTTCTGTAGAAGAAAACAATAATAAAATTCAATTGATAGCTTGAATCAGTTCGCGAAAACGGTAAAAATTAGTTCAACCACTGAATTCAAGCAACCTTACTTGGCGAAAGGTGTTATTTTGATAACTCATTTCAAGAAACCAGCTGATTGAGCAAAAAAAAATTGAAAAATTCAAACTTTTTGTAATAACACGAAACGGTTTGCAAAAAGCTGGTTATATCAAGCAAGCAATTAAAGCGACAAAAATGAAACAAGTCAAGCTCGTTTCGAAAGCTAAGATCAAATCGTCAAAATTGGAAGGTGCAATGAAGCAATTAAATTAAGCGACAAAACTTTGAAAAAAATTATGCAGTACAAAGCCAAATTGTACCTTACACAATAGAACGAAAATTGCTTTGTTGAAGAGTCCACAACAATGCTTTTTTGTTTAGTATTTATGCTGTTCTGGATTCCACAGACACATGCCTATATCATACAGCGGCTCTAAATGCTCAATTAATTCTTTGAACTTTACGCTCTTCGCGGACTCTGCGACTAAATATATGTTTCGACAACTTTAATGTTATAAGATAATTATTTGTGGAATCCGCAACAATTTGCTAAGTTAACTACATTTACACAAATTTACTTTTCAAGCAAGCTACTTCAGCGTTAAACCTTTGAAAACTTTTCGTTTTTTTTTGATAGCGGAAACTGTATTGCAAAAAAATGAAGAAATTTCAAGCAAGCAATTTTTTTAAAAACATATGCCGAAATGCCTGCCTAACAAAATGTCGAAATGCTTGCAAAAAATCATTTGAAATTTCAATAAAAACTAGCAGGACTGTCAAACTAAACGTTCAAATTAATTTTAAACTCATCATCACTTCATGGGTCAAAAGCTTAGAAAACTTTCCATCACAACTTTTTCATGGCAAAAATGGCAGGCAAGCTTTCTAAGCAATCGTAAAAATTTATTTCTTTTAAATTTTCCTAAAAAATCAGTGCGCCAGAACAAAACGCAAACACCTCTTCTTTCCAGAGGCTAAATTTTCAATTTTTTAAAAACTTAATTTGACCGGAAAAATTTACGTATAAGTAACTTTTAAAGTAACTTGTAAGTGCCAAAATGTTTTTCTAATTTTCAAGCGATGAATCGCCAATTCTTAAAACTAACTAATTGCTTAATTGTTTAGATCAATTTAAAACTGCATACGCTTTTTGAGATTTAAAGCACAATTTTTGTCATGAGAGATATTAATTTCTTAATTTGCGAACCGATTCAAAGCATTGCAAACCATCACATCAACATTTCCATAGAAAAAAAAACTCAAATAGAATTCAATCTTTCGAGCAACTCAAGAGATGAAACTACAAAGAAAACTCCAAGTTATTTTGATAGCCTAAATCAGTTCGCGAAAACCCTATAAAATTGTTCACCCATTGAATTCAAGCGACCTTACTTTGCGAAACGTGTTATTTTGATAACTCATTCCAAGAAACCAGCTACTTGAGCGAAAAAAATTTAAAAAAATCCGACTTTTTTGAACAAGAATCGGTTTGCAAAAAATTGATTATATCAAGCAAGAAATTAAAGCGACAAAACTGAAACAAGTCAAGATCCTTTGAAAGCCGAGCGACGACTCGTCAAAATTGTAAGGTTCAATGAGGTAATTTAATTAAGCGACAAAACTTTGAAAAACTCATGCAGTATGCAGCCAAACTGTACCTTACGCAACAGACCGAAAATCGCTCTGTAAAATAAACCACAACAAGGTTTTTTCTTGAGTACTTTTGCTGATCTGGATTCCAGAGACACATGCCTATATCATAAAGCGGCTCTAAATGATCAATTCATCTCTTTGAACTTTCTGCTGTTCGAACTTCATCTCTTTGAACTTCATCTCTTTGAACTTTCTGCTGATCAATTCATCTCTTTGGGCTCCGCTACACAATATATGTGTCGACGAGTTTTGCGTTATAAGATACTTGTTATGGATTCCACAACAAAATGCAATGTGAACTACATTTACATAAATTTACTTCTCAAGCAAGTTACTTCAGCGTTGAAACTTTGAAATTTTTCAGTTTGTTTTGATAGCAGGCTGCTTTGCGAAAAACTGAAGTACTTTCAAGCAAGCTTTTCAAGCGATGGTTGTGCTCACTAATATCTGGACACATGAACATAAAATTACAGCTTGATTCATTTCGTACAAAAAATTTGAGCCACAAAAAACTACAAAATAAATGAGCCAGTAAATTCAAACGAAGCATTGAACTATTCCGAGTATTTGTATAATCTTGAAACAGTTCATTGCAATAGCCTTCATTGGGTTTACAAAGATCCGAGTTTGCGAAGATCCCCGTTTACAAAGATCCGAGTTCAAGTCTCGGTGGGACCTAAAGTTTCGCTGTTTTATACAGAGGTGCAAGCTACAGACTGGAAAGGAAGACGTAAATCACAAAACCAAAAGAAATTCAGAAAAACAGTAAGAAACCAGAACTTTCCACATTAAATAAGCTTTTTGTATTTACCGAGCGGACATTCAACCGACAATAAGTGGGTCAAAATTCAAAGCAATTTCAAGATGAATTATTTTTCTTTTTTCACAAAATTTTTTTGAGAATTTAAATAATTTAACTTTGAAATTTTTTAATACAAACTACCTGAAATTTTCAGAAAAAAAAA